ATCATCATTGTAAGGTAGCTGCAAAAAAGGGTCACGGCACTGCAAGAAAAAGGAAATACCTGGGTGGGAAGGCCAGCGCCTCCACTCCAAAATGGCAATTCCTGCATAAGAAGGATGATGATGATGAATGTATTGGGAAGATGTTTGACTTGCACATGGTCAAGCATCTTGGCTTTCCAGTATCTGAATAAGGGAGTCAATTTGTAGCCTACATCTTGTTGTTCAGAGTCCAGCTAAGTCCTAGCTTGGGTTAAAGAATCATATGGCTAAATGGCAACTTTCTAGGCTAGCAGTAAAGAGGGGGTCCTGCTGTTGTGTTGGCCAGCACAGTGTGAGCAGTGTCACTGAGCCAACATTGGAGCATGGGCAACTGGTTCCTCCTGAGTCTGGGGGGGGCACTAGCGGCTGATTGCCGACTCTGGGGGATGAGTCCCCCAGCTGCTGATAGCTGACCATGGAAGTGTTGGTGGCAACACCAGAAGTGCCACTGGCACTTCTCTCAGTGCCCCCACTTCCTGGCCAGTGCCAATCTCAGGGGGGGCACTGGTCGGTGCTTCTCTTGGTGCCCCACTCCCCAGCCAGCGAGGGCGAATCTTAGGGGGGGCACATGCCCCCCCGTGCCCCTTCTATGAATCGCCATTCACTGGAGAGTGAGCGTGTAGCCATAAACAACTTGTGTGGCTCTTGACCAAGGCCATCCAACCATGTGCCACAACTAGTCACTATTGGAAGGACAGATTAGCTGTAATTTATATAGCCATGACAGGGTGAGTGGCTAGTCACCACTGCAAGACTCTAGGCCCAGATCAAAGGTAACTAACTTGGCTCTGGGCATGCAGGGTTGTAAGGAGTACCAAAAGGCAGGTGCAGCTGGGCAGCAAGCTGAAAGGTGAAATCCAGAATAAACAAATGCAGGATAATGTACATGGCAAGAGAAGTCTGGCATACACTGTTGGGCTCAGACTGTATCTCACAGGAGCATGTCAAGGCCATGTTGCTGACTATATGGTGTGGTGACTGGAAAACACATAGAGGCTGGCAAAAAGGTCTTTAGCAATACAAGGATGGGAAACCATTAAGTTCAGTGCCATACCTATGATGGCTGGTACTTTCAAAGGAACCTGAGGGGAATGAGTGACCATATCCTATTATTCATTGAGAGGAAGGTGCTGAGGCCCCCAAGGTTCATTTGAAATTTCAAGCTCAGTGTACTCGTTCACTTTGAATACTGGCTTTCTTTCAGATCACCTCTAGGAACAATGACATACCAGAAATAGAGAAGGGAAACAGTTGTGTCACAAGGGTTGGTGAAAGGGGTTAGATGTTTTTGAAGGAACAGATTAGTGTTTAAGACTATTTACAGCAGCTTGACCTAGTAAAATATGTAGGAGATGCATCATTTCTATATAGGAGAAATTATTTCTATCTAAGAGAACTTTTACAATATTTTCTCCTATGCCTGAAAAAGAGTGCTTGTGCCCAAAAGCTTGCAATTAAAGATTTTTCTTTTGCAAAAATCGAGTTGGTCTAATAAAAAATATTACCTCTACCACAAGTTCTGATTCCTTTAGGAAATGTTGAGTATTCCAGAGCAGTGTTTCTCAAGCAATTACCTGCGGCAGTCCACAAGGCTGTCCTACAAGGTAACTAGGCCATCACGAGGCAGTAAAACCTCTCTTCTAGTCTAAAATAGAAGTATGCTTCCCCACTTCCTGTGCAACCTCAGCCTACTGGGGCCAAGTACTCCTTGTCTCTCCTTGTCAGCTTCTTGACACATGGTCAGATAATTTATGCAGGCTCCTCCTCAATATAGCTCTTTCCTCTGATAGTAAATAGTAACTGTGAGAGGGTGACACTTTTTTTTTTTAACTCTGAGACTGGGTCACCAGCCTGTCAAAACTGAGACACTGCTGCAGAGGACAAATGCCTTTTCCCATAACACATGGACAAATGGATGCTTTGATTATATTAAAAGACTACCTCTTCACCATGGATAGACGTTTTCATACAAAGTACCCTTCCACTGCAATGATGCTTAGATTAACAGTTTACTAAGAGTCAAACAAAGATGTGAAAACAGCATCTATAATTACATTAGCAAAAATAAATAATAAACGGGCTAGCAAAGCTTCTGAATTAAGACAAACGGCTGAAGCCAGGAAGAAATAGCCCTATGTATTATTGCACAATTACAGTCAGATACATTATGGAAATTTGTTTCTTTTTTTAGCATTTTGACACTGTTAGAGATTTGTGGGGTGGGGCCAACATGGTTGTATTGCAGCTTGTTAATGCTCATGCACCCAGGAGGAAGGGGAAGCTAGGGTCCATCTCCACAGAATTGTGATAAAACCCATGAAAATAATTTGTAAGTGCAGACTAGAAAAAAAATTGTGGAAATATAGCATAGGGGACCTGAGAAGTTATTTTGCTTATCAGGGACTACTCTTACCCATGGATCTTCTCCATTGATCATTGCTGCTTCTCAGGACCACCTAGATGCAGAGCTATTCTACTGACCTCTCTACTGTGATGACCAGCACTAATACAGTCTTTATGTTGGTAAGTTGGGAATACGGTGGTCTTGTTGACAATGAGTGTTTCATTCTAGCTCACTCACCCCTCCTCCCTGCTCCCAAATATACGCAGTATAGTGTCAAGTCTACAGAACTAATGCTGAAGAGTGACTGCCAGGCTTGGGATTCCTGAGGTGAGGATAGCCACGTCAGCAATACTCTCATAATGAAAATCATGGAAGTAGGTCCCTCAGTCCTTCTCCCTTCCCAACATGGGGACAGGATAGGAGAGAGGAGATTAGAAGGATAGATCAGCAAGTAAAACATGTCTGAAGGTATCTAGCAGTGATGGAAAACCCTGCTTGCCAGCATCCTGTGAAGAATCCTTTGAGAGGAGGCTCTCCATCACCAGCCACCTGAAGGGGTTTTCTCTCTCACTTTCCCACAGAGGGACCAAGTCAGTCTCAGCAGGACTGTCATGTTGCTGTTCAGAGACCCACAGGTACGTTATCTCTCATTGTTAGGTCAGACACAGAGTTATAGATCACATTTTCCTTCTGCACAAATATGGTATAGGGCTCCAGCTCCAGTTCATGATTGTCCTAGTAAATCAAAGACAAAAGACTGTGAGCATGAGGACTGCATTTGATTTTTAAAAGTTCTGGACTCTTTGAACACAACAACATATTTCCTACCATAAATTTAAGAGAGTAAGTGCAGCATCATGCTTCAACACTTTAAGAATTAAATTATGAGTGATCACCATTGGCTATTGCTCTGCTAGCAATACAAATGGAACCAACAAGATGCAGTATGTTCTACTGTGTAGGGAAGTCTATTCCTGGTTTTGGGTGAACCTGAGATGTTCCTTCACCTGCAACTCTTGGCTTTCTCTAACCTTTTTCATCTTGGCCTTTTTTAGACTGTAAGATCTTTGAGGAAGGGGTTGCTTCTTATTTGGTCTTTATAGACCACTTGACATACCGGAGCCCTGATCGCAGCTGGTTCCTTAAGATTGTAATGAGGGTTTTGTGATATGTCAGCGCAAGTGTTTGTGCTTTGCCTAGCACTTATATCAATGCGACATCACTTCTTGCTAGTAACAAACAAGAGACTTGCTAGAACAGATGCACCATTTCAGAAGTTTAGAATAAATCATGCTTTTTAACCTGATGAGATCAGGTTGATTCTACTACCTCTCTTAGGTACTGTTATGGCCCCACTACCCTAACAGTGGAACATCACACAAGGTAGGTAGCCTCACAACATTCCTGTGAGGAAAAGAAATGTTACTATTCACTCTTTAAAAGGGGGAGCCAGATACTGGGATGCTAAGTGATACTAAGCGGCAGAGCAAGGAGCTTCTCCCTCTCCTTCCTACCTAGCCTTATTTGACCACAACAGTTAGCTAGGATCTTGGGTCTGGTTGGTCATTTACACTGAGGCCTTTCAAGGCCGCTCTGGCTATAAAGGGGCCTTAAGGAGTATATAAATTACTGATTAGGATTTGTGGAACTGAAATTCCTTTTTCAAGCTTCAACATTAAGTTTGTCACATGTCATTGCCAGAACAGATGCACCATTTCAGAAGTTGTGATACATGCTGACATATCACAAACCCTTAAAAAATATCTGTTTCTTACTTTCAGCAAAAAAAAACAAAACAAAAAAAACTTTGAAAACCACAGCTTTCATTGCCTGGTTGTCCAAGCGCTGTATGTACAGAGCATGCTGCCATACAGCAGTGTATACAGTTGTTGTCAGCACAGCTCACAGGAGGAGAAAGAGACTTGAAAGAGTCCTTTCCTTTGGATGCTGAGGATGCTAGTCTGAGTCCTAAATGGGAATATGCTATCAGTGCTTTTTGTGCATTTGATTCATATTATGATAACCTCTGGGTTATCTGCAACTATGTCTAGTGATAAGTTTGTGGCATGCCACTGCAGATACCAGTGAGAGCCATAATCTGGTTTCCTCTCCATAAAAGAAACTTTCCAGAAGTGCTTGCAAAGCAGGTTTCCCATTTGGTGACATCTTGATGGGTGTCACTCTCCTTACCTGAACATTTTCTGTGGGAACAGTTTCAGGAGTTTTGGTTTTCTGACAAATCCTGTGGGAGGACAAAGGGGAGAAAATGGGCTCTTATGGTACTACATCTTCCACATTAGGTTAAGCTTCTGAACTCAGCCATCTTAAGTCAGAGGGGCCTTGACTTTTTCAAAAGTCTGCCCACTAACAAACGCCTTCCTTAAGTCCTCTAATGAGGCTAAAGATCTTCTCCCAGGTCCTCCACTAGGCAGCTCTTGACTCTGCAGTTCTGGGGCCTTCCTACACATTAATTTCAGGTGGCTCCTGGAGCTCTTACTCCCTGGATTCTCTACACAGTAACACCTGAAACTAGTTTCAGGAACTCTTTAGGTGGCTTAAAGTTACACCACTCCATGGTAGGTTTCCTTTGATCCAAGTTACCTAGCTTGTGTTCCATTAATGTGTGGCCCCTCCCCACAGATGAGCTGCCCAAGCTGCAATCCCCCAGCATCCCAGGATGCAGAGTCCTCTCCTCCACCCTCCTGTTCTATGTGGACAAACTCTCCATCCCCTGAACAATACTGCCAGGAAGGAGGGGAGGAGAGGGGAGCGGGTTCTGGCACCAAGACAACTCCCACTCCCACTCCCACCCCTGGAGATGTGATCTTCCCACCCCCAGGCGTTCAACCCTGTGCAAGCAGTCTGCAGAGCACATGTAGCAGCCAGGTAACATGACATGGATGGGTCTAGGATAGGAGGCTGGGGTGGGGGTGAACAAAGTAGGGGGCCAAATCAGGCCCCCATGAGCTGGGGCTTCCTTCCCTGGGAAAGAAACAGTAGGGCCCCCCAAAATCACCTTCCCTCACCACTTCTAGACACCTCAGAAAGTACAATCAGCACCCCCCACACCCTAATCCCAAATCTCAATTTATTAAAACTTGAGACTCTTTCATTTACTTCCTCTTTATTTTTTTTTCTGTTCTTTTTTTTTTAAACTTGTTTGTATTTTATCCTTCAGAGGCTGGATTCCTTCATTTCACTCCCCCCTCCATTTCCTTTCCACCTCCCATTTCATTACCCACTCTCATCCCATTAACTCTCCACCTCCCAGCTTCATGTTCCTGCCCCCCTCCCAGCCCATTTTGCACACCCTCACCTAGAGGAGGGATAGAGCCTATCCTGGCTCACCAGTCCTGACTGGCAACTCACAGCTGTAACTCCTAGTCAAGCCCGTGCTCACCAGCCCTGTAGTGGCAAGTCAGAACTGTGAAGGTGGGGGACAGTCAAAGAAGGTTTTAAGCCTTAAGATGTGACTGTTCCAAACTCACTAACACCAATCAACATTTGAGCAGCTCAAATGGCAACGTGTAAAAATACCCC